TAGATTTTGTTTAATTTTATTTTATTTTACTTGCTTGAGGACTAGCAAGTGGTAAGTTGGGGGATTTGATTAAGGCCGAAATGTACATCATTGAGGCCGTTAATTAGAATATCTTAATTTCACTTGTTGGTCAAACTGTATATTTTATGTGTGTTGAGTGTCAATCAGGTTGTACATCGTTGGAGCATAAAATGAGCAAAAAAACAGAATTTAGGTAAAGTTGACTTTCCCGCACGTGCGTTGACTTTTTCTGGGAAAGTCAAACCGACGTTCTAAACCTGTTTGGACAAGATTGGAAGTATAAAAAGGCAAGTAAAAGGCTGGATTAGGGTTCGGAAGTTTTTTTTGACCTAAAGGGAGAGGCTAGGGTTTGGAAAGGAAGAGAAACAAAAGCTCCAAGATGTCTCCCATGGTGGTTTCCTCTCCATCTACCTCCTTCCACTCCTCTATGAGTGGCTAGTCTCTTTTTCTAGGGTTTTGATGAAACCCTAGCCATGTAATTATTTTTTGTTTCTTTTTTATTTTAAATTATGTAAAGGTTTGAACATTTGTATGGTGATTTAGAAGTTTCTTTATTATATTTTTCATTATCTCTTCGAATATTTGACTTTCTGTGATTGTTGAATATTATCCATACATGAGTTTTCTATTCCTTCACATTCAAGGTATGGGACGAACCATGCTACGAGGAACGAGTCGTATCACTACCCTAGTTTAGAGTGAACGATTCGTATTACTTGAGATGGTTCGTGCTCGTACATTGAATGTGATGATCTTCTTGTTAAATACTTTGAGCTTGTAGTTGCGAAGCATTAATCCGTTCAAACCATAGCATAATTAATTTCAATTGGAAACCCTAATTATGTGGTTAGTGGTGAATTCTCTACCCTAGGATTTTTCCCCAATTCAGTAAATCCAATTTCATTTATTATTGATAATTTAATTCATTAGTTCAATTTATTTGTTATTAAATTAGGTTATGATCATTCAATCTTTTTATCAAAATTAATTTAGGAATTTGACAATTAAATTAGTTTAATTTCACAATAGTCCCTGTGGATCGATACCTGGACTTGCCATTATTCTGATAGAATTTGGTATAGTTTAGTATTTAATTTTGGTGTGTTCAACGACCCATCACTCCCCAACCTGGACGGATACTACCAAGGCATCATTATGCGGATGCTGTACCATCTCAAGGTCAACTTCAGTAAAGGTTATCATTGGTCCCTGACACTCTTCTGCCCGATGTCTTTTCTCCCCGACTTGGTAGACATGTTGTAGGTGTTTTACCTTCTGGGTCTCTTCTCGGATTTCGTTTTCGTTGACCTTCGAGTGGATTACGTTGATTACCCGAGTCCTCCTGCCTACGGCTGCTGTGCTGGAAGAGGTAGGGCTGCTGGTGCCTAAGGCAACCTTGCCCGTTCTTCCGTTGTCCTAGTCTCATCGACAAGGTCTCTCAGATGTCCTTGTCTCACCAAGTCTTCCAAATGTGCTTTCAGGGCTCTACAACCCTAAGTTGTATGCCCATCTTCATTGTGGTAGGCACAATGCCTGCCAATGTTTCTTCCCATGAATTCTCCTGGAGTCCTCTCTGGCGTTCTGAAATAGGGTTGGTTCCGAATTTGATCCAGGACTTTGTGAATTGGGATTCGGAACACAATTGTTACTGCCTGTGTGGCCCTCAGTTCTGCTTCTTGTTTGCTCGATCCATTGTTACCTCGGCCTCGCTTCGGCGAGCCGTTTCTTTTCTCTTGTTTTACTTCCCTAGTTCCTAACGTGTCTTCTTTGGCTCTGGTGTACTTCTCGATTCTCGCCATGAGCTCTTCCATACTTTTTGGCAATGTCTTTGCCAAAGATTTTCATAGTGGACAGTTGTCTTTCGGGCCGTTCTTGAAAGATACGACCGCCACCTCTTGATTACATTCGGATATTCGATTGAACACCTCATAGTATCTTTTTGTATAGGCCCTAAGGCCTTCATCCTTGCTGATCTTCAAGGCCATCAATGCGTCCACCCTTAATGGCTGCAGCTTGTTTGTCACGAATCTGGCCACAAACATCTCGGCCAGGCCTTTCCAAGTCTTCACGCTTCCCTTCGGTAGTTTGTGGAACCAATCTGATGCAATCTTCCCGAAAGATGAGGGGAACACTTTGCAGAGCAACGGCTCGTTCCCATTATACAATGCCATTGAGTTCAAATATAATCAAACGTGGAAGTTGGGATCTAACTTACCATCGTATATTTGAAATCTCGACATACTGAATCTCTTCGACGCCTCAAACCTGTCTAATTCCACCGAGAATGGTGTCCTCGGCTTATCTGGGGAGGTTACCTCAGCGTCGGCATTCTGTTGCTTCCTCTTGAGGTAATCTCTTAAGTCCTCCTTCGTCCGTCCAGGAGCTCGACTATCTCCTGCTTTCAATCTTTTTGGTGCGCTACTTTCAGCTTCGTGGTGAGTCCTTTTCGACCCTTCTCCATGAGTTGTGTCGAGGCACAGTGCCTGCCCCTGAACATGCCAATGTCCTTTGGGGTCTGCCTCCTTTGTGCGGTGCGTCTTCCGTGATTCTTCTCTTCTTAACTCTCTTCGTCCGACTTCCCTAGAAGGTCGGTGAGAATATTTTTCGCTCCCGTTGTGCTGAGGGGCTACGGGGATTGTTTTCTGCCCTCCCTTCTGGGCATTGGCCGCTGAAATCGGCATGTCTTGCTGCGGGAACGGTGGCTGCATGACGTTATTTTGCATCATGAAATTGACGACCGACTGCAGGTCAGCCAATTTGTTTGCCATCTCTTTTACCTCTTCGTCTCTTCGTAGGCACCTATCCTTCCAAACTTGGAGGTCGTCCTTGTTGTAATACCTACTTCGATCTGGTTTCCTTGATGCGTCGCCAGTCTGGCCGACGTCTGTCACTTCGTGATTCTGGTCACGAGTTTCTGCTTTGCATTCGTCTCCTGTGATATCAAGGTCAATAGGTCTCCCACTCCCAGCAGGAGTGTTGTCCCGTCCCTAATCTTTTCCTTCTGTCCGTTACTGGCCATCTATTCTACTTTCTTTCCCACAAACGGCGCCAAATTGTGTGAGTGATTTTCCGATCACACTGCCCAACTCAGTATTCAGCTGGAGAACACTGGCAGAATAGATGACACCTGGCTAACCTGTAATAGAAAGAGAAGATTCCAACGGTGGTTCGTCCACCCGGGGCACTCCGACGATCAAGTCAGTATATTTCTCAAAGATAATCAATAGTGCTTAACTCACTAAACAGAATATAAATTGCGTACCTTAGACCCACGGGGGTGCCTCTCTTTTATAGCTAACTCAATCCTTGTCCCAACAGGAGCCTACCTCTAATGTTGCATTCGTCTCCTGTGATATCAAGGTCAATAGGTCTCCCACTCCCAGCAGGAGTGTCGTCCCCAATCTTTTCCTTCTATCTGTTACTGGCCATCTATTCTCATTTCTTTCCCACAAACGGCGCCAAATTGTGTGAGTGATTTTCCGATCACACTGCCCAACTCAGTATTCAGCTGGAGAACACTGGCAGAATAGATGACACCTAGTTAACCTGTAACAGAAAGAGAAGATTCCAACGGTGGTTCGTCCACCCGGGGGTACTCTGACGATCAAGTCGGTATATTTCTCAAAGATAATCAATAGTGCTTAACTCACTAAACAGAATATAAATTGCGTACCTTAGACCCACAGGGGTGCCTCTCTTTTATAGCTAACTCAATCCTTGTCCCAACAGGAGCCTACCTCTAATGGATTTAGGATTACTATCAATCTTGAACTCTCAGTAGGATTGGAATAAACTCCCTAAGAGTCTTATCCTTTCCCAACTGTAGTCTCCCCCTTTTCTAAGACTCTTGTGCCTTATCCGCTTATCTCGGATTCCGATATCTTCGGAGATAACCTCAGCTTAACCGAGATCACCTCGGCGTCATGACCTAGACACGTGGCACCTCAGCTGATACGTCGGCGTCACTTTGCCACGTGTTGGTACTTAAAAATATATCCCCACACAAACCATCCATTTTTTAGCAAGTCATAGTTCCTTTCTAAGACCACTACCATGTGTTGCATTCTAAATGTATACTTAACACTTGAATAAGAGTATAAGATATATGTCTGACATGAGTAGTTAGATACTCACCTAAAATATATATATATATATATATATAAATTATAACAACTCGGGTTTTACCATGAAGCAATGCATAAAATGCTCCATGCATGAAATGCTCTATGCATCTTGTGAACACTATTTTACCCTAGAAAATAAAAGGAAGTACCCTGTATCCTTGGACACAGTAATTAGATGAATCGGACACTTATAATCATACTCGCAATCGACACTCATGCCCGATTCCATGTAACATAGGTCACAACCTCATGTTACAAATCCACTTCCCTTATTTTACATGATCTCACCACTTTAGGCTTCCTCCTCCATTTACTCATTAGGACTATCAACAAGAATGATCACAATGCAATAAAGTCCAACTATGAAAACAATTAATTTGTTCATTGAAATTTATATCTGAATTATAAGATTCATAAGGATCTAATCTGCCCATTAATCTATTTTAACCTCAATGGGCCAATTAGGTTTGTTGGACTTATTGCACCTTGTTAGTACTCTTCATTCACTGATAGTCGAATAAATTTTGAAGCGTAAGTTTTATCATTTGCAACTTGCGAATGGAAACTCACCTCTGATAGCACATTTCTACTTTCTAGGATCACAACTTCATGAAGGACAACTTAGTTGAACTATGGTTCCATGCAGAAATAATGGAGACACTCTACCCATAAACTATTGCTAGTTTAAGTCAAAAAAATCTTTCAAACTATTAATAGTTTAAGGATATTCCTGTTGATTAATAAGTCCTATGCAAACAAATGGCAAATGATAAGTACTAATTGGAATGGTGAATGATAATACTAGTTGGAGCAACCATAATATCTACTGCAGCATATTTTCACATTGACAAGCTTGTCAACTAGAGAGAAGAAAATATATTAACTTGCATCAAAAGGAACTAGAAAGTAAACTCACCAGCATTTTACTTTTTACACTGAAGAATCCATCTGCATCAGCAACAACAGTAGGCTTTGATGCTCCAACAGCCATTATAGCCCCCTAGATATGATTAATGTTTAAAGCAAACAGCTAAATATATTTGTGAGTAGAGAACTTCATAAGTTATTGGAGGTGAAAGGCCTCGCCCTCATTACTAACCTGGCCTGGAGGAAGAATAGCATCAAACCTATCCACTCCAAACATGCCCAAATTGGAAAGAGTAAAAGTCCCTACATGCACAACCAGCATAACTCAATTACATTTTCTATTGAAAGAAGTTTACAAAACCAGAACTCTGCATTCAAGCTTACAAATACAAAATATTAAAAACCTGAATTGTACTCATGGGGCTGAAGGTGCTTGGCCCGGGCTTTTTCTACCAACTCCTTCCATTTTTGAGACAACAGATAAAGATCCAACTACACCAGCATAGAGAGATTACCCATTAATAATAAATTCAGACTACTATGAACAAAATACCAATAGAAAATCAATCACACACCAAACTAAATAGTAAATTCACAAATCACTGACCTTATCAGCATCTGGAAGAACAGGGGTTATCAACCCACCATTAATTGCCACAGCAACTGCAATATTTATACTGCTATTATAAGTAAAACTCTTCCCATCTTTACATGTAGTATTCACAACTGGGTGCTGAGCAAGTGCCATGGCCGCAGCCTTAGCTAACAATGCAGTCATAGTCACACCCTTGGGCTTAACCTAACAATTCCAAAGCAAGCCCATTTCGATAACCAAAATTTCAATAGCAATCATATCCATTACAATTGAAATAAACATATAATCATTCAATAGTACCTTCTCATACAGAGCATCTAGGGCATCAGTAGTCACGGGATATCCAACCCGAAAAGTGGGCACCGAGAGACTCTCCAACATGTTCTTCGACACAGCTGCTTGCATCGCGGTGAAGGGAACAACAGTAGACCCTGGAATTTCAGTAAATGCAGTAGCAGCAGCTTTCGGAGTCGGAATCGGAGCAGAAGAAGCCACGGCTGCAACCACCGGAGTAGTCTTGGGCGGCGCAATTCCGGCAGCAGCTTCAATATCCGCCGGAGTAATCCGCCCGAAAGGCCCACTCCCAACCACCGAATTGATATCAATCTTGTGCTGCTTCGCAAGCTTCTTCGCGAACGGTGTCACCACAATCTTCCTCGGGGCGACGGAGGCAGCCGGAGCTGGTGGCGGTGGCGGAGGAGGAGGAGGAGGAGCAGAAGGAGCGGAATGAGAAGAGGAAGTGGCGGCTTTGGCTTTAGCTTCGGCGATTTCGTCTTGGGACTCGGCTAACAAACCAATCGGAGCTCCAACCGGGGCGACCTCGCCTTCGCCAACAACGATGGCAGCGAGAATGCCGTCGTAGAAGGTCTCAACGTCCATGTCGGCCTTGTCGGACTCGACGACGACGACAGACTCACCTTTGGAGAGCACATCGCCTTCGGATTTGATCCAAGAAACGATCTTGCCCTCGGTCATGGTGGAGCTGAGAGCCGGCATGAAGATCTCCCTGATCTTGGCCTGGACGGTGGAGATTCTCCGGCGTGGAATAGGAACAAATGCAGATGAGGGACGCCATTGGAGTCTGGAAGATGAGGAGGAGAGAGAGGAAGAAAAGGAGATTGAAGGAACCCTAGATTGAAGAAGAAGAGAAGAAGAAGAAGCCATTGTAGAGAGATATAGAGAGAGTTAGGGTTGGGATTTGAGGGGTATAGTATACCTTATAAGAGAACAATTGGTTTGGTGAGTTGGTTCAGCTATATGTATGCATGCATGTATGTATGCATGCATGTATGTATGTTGGTTGATCCGATCAGAGAGAGAGAGAGAGAGAGAGAGGGGGAGAGTTGGGGGCGGAGAAGACGAGGGAGGTTGGTTGGGGAGATGCATTGAGTACTCCGCAGAGTGTTAACATCGCCCCCGAACCCAAACATTCAAAATTGTATTCAAGTTCGTTGGAACACCTTTTTCTTTTCAGGCTCAATCAACACCAGTAACAGTAAGGGTCGGCCCGGGCTGGACTGGCCCGCAAATACCAAATTTGTTGGACGTCAACCGAACTTAAGGGTTATTTTGAGTATGCTAATTTTTTTATTTATTATAAAAAAATGAATAAACTAAATAATAATGTGATTCAAATAAATTAATAATCAATTTATAAGTAAAGCCTCTAAAAAAGACTTAAGAAACTTGATTTATATTTAATTCATTCAAAATCAATTAGTTATGTAAATAAAATGAGTTTAAACATAATTTGAAATTTATTATGTTTTCATGTCAAGTTTAGTACTCAGCACTATATAAAAAAGTAAGTTATTCGAGCCATCCTCGTATTCAGTTTGTTAAAAACTCGTTTGATATCGACTTGTTAGGTAACAACACAAGCTTTAATATAATTTTAAATTCGTTAAATTATCAAATCAAATTTGAACAATTTATTACTTTACTCAACTCGACTTATTTTTAGTCTTAGAGCTAAACCTAACAGACTTTTTTTTAATAGGACAGATTATGTGTCAATTAAACTCAAATCCTGCCTAATACTTAGCCCAAACAAGCTAATGGATGGGGCGCCGGCTGACTAGCCGAATCTCACTAGTCAATGAACAGGCCACTAAGCCTTGTGAGTTGAGATTGAAGTTTATTTTTTGACATTTTTATTTTGGGAGCAGCTTTCCTCTAGGGTGTTGTTGGGTACATGGAGATTTATCATGGATCTCGTTTTGATAATTTGAACTGGTCAATATGTAAACCTCATTGAGTACTATATGTTTGTTAAAAATCACATTAATCAGATATCAATAACTATCTTATCGGATTAATTTTCTGTCAACTGTTAATTTATTCACGATCCATTTTTTTTATACAAAATTGTTTTGATTACATAGCTATCAATATCCGATCAACGTGATTTTTTTATAAACATATAGTACTCAAGGAATTTTACACATTAAACAGTTCAAATTATCAAAACGGGACCCATGATGAACCCTCACGGCCCAACAACACCCTCTCGTCTACTCCCTTTATATTTCATTTGTTTCCTTTGTTTTTCATGTTTGTTGTCAAGATTCAAACCTTGGGCTTAGGCCCAGTCCAAACCTCATTTGGGTTGGACTTGATTAAAATTTATTTTAATAATTTGAGAAATAAACAAATCAAATTTAAATAAATTACATTTTGCAGCATTTGCAAACAGACTAAGAGAAAAAATAAGAAAGGATACTTTGTGTGAGTCTAGGTGTGGAGACAAAGAAGTGGAAAGGGTTGTCGTGGGTGTGGTAAGTTTTATGTAAGCATTGTTTTTGTTATTTTAGCAAGTGATCGTTAAGTGTCACATTGCTAATTAATTGTAATGCTAGGTGTTAATTGTTACAATTGAAAATAAAATGATAAAAATAGAATTTTGTGTAAAGTATAAGGGTACCAAGTGTAATTTGCCAAACACATTTTGAACTCAAACCAAGTTTAAATAATCAACTCTATTACAATTTGATCCAAAAAACAAAAAGAAAAAGAAAAAAACTCTATTACAATTTGTTTGGCATACTAATAGACAAAAATAAATTAAAGAAATGATTTGGTAGGAAAGAAAATAAAATAAAAGGCAACATCACCACTTTTCTTTTTTCTTTTTTAAATAATTTGTGGGGGGAAATGTCAAAAAAAGAGTGTGATATACTTTACTTTTATTAAATCAATACATTAATAACACATTAAATGGTTTCTTCACTCTATAAAAAAAATGTTCTATAAAATGTGATAAATTTGATCAATGGTATTCTAATACAAATTCATTAAAATAAAAAATAAATAAACAAAACAAAAGCACATGAAGTACACAAACAAGAGTAAAATAGGCCGAGTAGGCATGGGCCGATAGACCTGTTCGGCCCAACAATCGTAAGCCCAACCATGGTGGGAGCTTGGAGGGGTTTGATGGGCTGAAAACACCACATGGGCCACACCATTTTGAAAGCTAGTTTGGCCCACCCAAAGGGAAGGCCAGCTCTGATTCATCTGCTGATATTGTTATAATAGCAAGTAGGACTGCAAACGAGCCGAATTGAGTTGAGCTTTGCTAAGTTTGAAGTTGCCTCGTTTGCTTATTGAGCTCGCTTGTTGAATTCGACCTCGACTTGACTCGTTAATATTAATGAAACTCGAGTTCAGCACGACTCGATAATTTTTTTTTAATATTATTTAAATAAAAAATATTATTTATATTATTTTTATATATTTATATATTATTTAACATATAAATAAATATATTTATTGTATAATTTAAATAAAGATAAACGAGCCACGCTTGATGAGCCGAATTTATTCAAGCTCGAACTTGGCTTGTCTACTAAACGAGCCTAATATTCGAACTCGAACTCGGCTCACTTACTAAACGAGCCGAATCAAACCTGTTTATGAATAGTTCAATTCATTTGCAACCCTAATAACAAGTTCTTTGAAAATGATCTTTCCTATCTATACCCACCCAAAAAACTTTCCTATCTATTGCAATTTTTATTATTCATTTATTTATTGCAAATTGAGAGTTTTGCATTTGCTATCCCACATGTATTTTTTCAGGTCCTCAGCCTTTAAAGTCCAATCCATAAAATTTGTCCCTCAACTTTTACTTGTGTAATTTATCCTCACCAAAGTCAAGCACAGCCGCCTTCCGTCGGAGTGAGTTGTCTCACAATTTGTAAGAAAATAATTTTTTTATATTTTTTTTAATAAATAGTGATAATTTTTTAATATTTTTAATAATTTTTTGACTTATTTATAAGTTGCTAAACCAGTGAAAACCTTCTTCCGAATCGGTGCCATATATTACAGGAAAATATAAATGCCATCATATCTGTCTCTTGAATGAAACATTTTTTTCTCAAATCCATTCCAGTAAAAAGCATACCATTAAACTGTCCAATGTACCAAAAAAAAAAAAAAAAACATACCATTATTAAATTGTTTTTGTACGAACTTGTTTCTTTCAAGTTTAACCATTAATGAAAAAGTAAATTGTTTTTATTTTCTTTTCTGTTCCTTTAATCTCCTTATCTTAATAAATTATTTTGTACAATATTATTGACTAAAACCACAAACTTTATTTTTGAGTGACACTTGATTGACAAGGGGAGTGTTTGGGAAGTTAATTTTTGACTAAAATAGTTAATAAAAATAAAATATTATATTTAAATTAAAATTATTTTATTTTTTTTATAATCATCAAATTAACTATGAAAAATATAAAAAAAAGCTAATATCACAAAGACAAATTTTTTAGTCTAACTAAAATAATTAAAAAGTAAAAAAACCAACTAAAATAATTAAGTTTCCAAACGAACCAGAGTAGATTTTATAATTCATTTGGATGCACCTTCTTTTTTAGGATTAGGCTTCTCTCCAGTTCGAAATGGAGAATGCTTTAGGGCTTATGGGACATACCACGAGTCTCATTTCAATAATTTAAATCATTCAATATTTAGAGATCATCAAGTGTTTTATCCCTACAAAAATTTACATTAATCAGATATCGACAGTCATTTGATTAGACAATATTTTTATCAATAATAAATATGATTTTAACATTAAATTGTTGACAAAAATGAGTTCTAATCAAATGGCTATTAATATCCAATCCATGTAATTTTTACAAAAATGAAACACTTCGGCTTGACAAGTCGAGCTTATTTGAATTCAAACTCTGCTCGTTTATTAAAGGGCCTAATATTCGAGTTCGAACTCGACTTACTTAAACAAGCCGAACCAAACATGTTCATAAATGGTTCGATTAATTTGTAATCCTAATAGCAAGTTCTTTGAAAATAAACTTTCCTATCTACTGCAATTTTTATTATTTATTTATTTATTGCAAATTGAGAGTTTAGTATTTGTTATCCTTCATTTATTTTTTCAGGCCTTTAACCTTTCAGTCCAATCCATAAAATTTGCCCCCAACTTAACCTTTACCTGCTGTACGAAAAGCAAAATAAATACTATGCCTCCATTGGTTTTTTTGACTTTTTTAGTTATTTTAGTTTGGGTTAAAAAGTTTAGTTTAGAAAGGATTTTTTAACTTTTTTAACTTTTTTTGTGAGAGAAGAATGTAATGATTATGAGTTGAATGTGATGTTTTGTTTATTATGATTAAAATAACCTATTTTATTTTTTATGGATAAAATAACCAAAAAAGTTTGAAAACCTTCTTCCGAATCGGTGCCATATATTACAGGAAAATATAAATGCCATCATATCTGTCTCTTGAATGAAACATTTTTTTCTCAAATCCATTCCAGTAAAAAGCATACAATTATAAATTGTCTTTGTACAAACTTTTTCTTTCAAGTTTAATAATTAATGGAAAAGTAAGTTGTTTTTATTTTCTTTTCCGTTCCTTTAATCTCTTTATGTTCATAAATATTATTTTGTACAATATTCTTGACCAAAATCACAAACTTTATTTGTTGAGTGATATTTGATTGACAATCTTAAAGGAGACTGTTCGGGAAATTAATTTTTGATTAAAATAGTTAATAAAATAAAATATTATATTTAAATTACAATTTTTTTTTTCACAATCATTAAATTAACAACAAAAAATTAATTAATTAATATCCCAAACACAAATTTTTTAACCTGACTAGTCAAAAAGCTAACTAAAATAGTTAAGTTCTCAAACGAGCCCGGAGTAGATTTTATAATTCATTTGGATGCACATTGCTTTTTAGAATTAGGCTTCTCTCCGATTCGAAATCAGACGGGAGAGTAGTGTTAGGCTCTAAGACTTATTACGGGTCTCATTTTGATAATCCAAATCATTCAATGTTTAGGAGTCATCAATTATTTTATCCCTACAAAAATTTACATTGATCAGATATTGATAACCACTTGATCCAATAATATTTTTATCAATA